TCTCAAGTAATGTATGTATGTATGTATGTATGTATGTATGTATGTATGTATGTATGTATGTATGTATGTATTGAATACATGAACTCTGTGGCATCTGGGTATAGTTAATTTTGATATCAAATAATAGTGATAATATTGACCATTTTGTAATCTTAATTATATTAATCATATTCACATTGTTATAATAACATTCTGCATAATATAACCATCTTTCAGCTTCTGATCCTTTCAGCTACATACTGAACTTAAAATTTTATATAGGAATATGCATAATAATGGAAGGGGATCAGTGGCTGACGCTTGTCAATCAGAAAGGTTGGCAATTCGGAGGTTTGAATCCCTCGTGCCGCGTAACGGAATGAGCTCCCATGACTTGTCTCAGCTTCTGCCAACCTAGCAGTTTGAAAGCATGTAAAAATACAAGTAGAAAAATAGGAACCACCTTTGGTGGGAAGGTAACAGCGTTCCGTGCGCCTTTGGTGTTGAGTCATGCCAGCCACATGACAGCGCTGGCTCTTTGGCTTTGAAACAGAGATGAGCACTGCCCCCTAGAGTCGGGAACGACTAGCACATATGTGCGAGGGGAACCTTTACCTTTACTTTACAGATTGTACTTAAAAGAGCAGAGAAGAGAGCGGTGATTTAAAAGGCGACCATTGTTGCCTCTGATGACATATGGGGTTTGATATCTGGGGGGGAGCAGATGGATTGATGGCATGTGTGTCTCTCTGGGGCAGGTATATGGGGCAACCCTAAACAGTGAAAGGAAGAACTAAGCGGGGGGGGGGGGGGAGAAGCAACCTTTTTCTATAGAAGAAGTTAAGAGATCAACCCAAATCCCAGGATCTAAATGGATTTGGGAATCTTGGGAAATTCATATTATTCCTTCCACACAACACAACACAACACAACAAAATACACATACACACACACACACACACACACACACGTCACAGGGTCCTGCTCATTTTGCCTTCTGCTTCTTCTGTCAGGGCAGGGTGGAAGTCGAGATTGGGAAGGAAGGACTGAAGTTTGAAAACGGCGCCTTCACCTATTATGGGGTCTCTGCACTTACCGCTCCCTCCTCAGGTGAGTCCTTTGCTCCGTTTAGAGGCGAGCAGCCCCCCACGGAGGAGGGGGAGTCACCCCAGGGACCTTACTGCCTGCCAGCTCATTTTAAAATGCATGTATTTCGGAGATCGGTAAGTGGGACACTCAAAGGTTTGGTTCGCCCTTTGAGGACAGAGGCTGTTCAACTCCTATTTGGGTTGATGTTCTGACCGAGGCTTCCCGAGAGCAGGAAGCAAACTCCTTGTCCCGACAAAAAAACGCTTTTATTAATTGATGTGAATTCTGCTCATTCACATCCAGCAAAGTCTTTCAAGGGAGGATTTACAGTCACAGACCTCATCTGGCTTGGAGCCTGGCAAGGAGTCTCGGAGAGACACGAATCAATTAAGCGAACTAATTGTCTCTTGCAAATTCCACTCCTTTTTCGCTCCTCTTTTATTTCCTTTGGGAGGGGCCGTTCATCGTCCACCTGTGGCCTTACTCCGAAGTCAATCCCTGTTCTTTAGCTGTTCCCTTCATCTGGCAACTCTGTGTATGCGCACACAGGGAACAGGATCCAGCTGTTCATCTGCCTCACTCCGAAGGCAGCTGATAACTGTCAGACGGCTCTTGCCCCCTCTCTGCCTCTGATGCCTCTGCCTCTCTGCCCTCATCAGAGCCTTCCCCAGACTCCAGGACTGGCCCATGTTCCTCCCCAACCTCCTTACTGTCCAAATCTGCTGCCAGCTTCTCTGGCAGGCCACAACAGTTGGTTTGCTGGTGTGAATGTGGCCACAGTGTTGCTTTTTCCTTTTCGACAGTCCACCAGTCCCCCGTGTCCACTCTACGCATGAATCGTCGTGAACAGCAGGTTGACGGCACAGAGCCCACCAATTATTCAGCGTATTGCCCTGACTACACCGTTCGAGCCCTCACCGATCTGCAGTTCATCAAGGTAAAAGCACCTCCAGCGATTTGCCAAGTAGAGGGGAGAGAGGAGATGTTGTGGAACGCACTGCAGAAATCCTCAAAAGTCCTTCAGGATTGAAGTTTGCACAAGGTAGCGTTCCAAGTAATGCACCCATTGAAAGCAGAACTCCGCGACAGGCAGATTCCACAAAGAACAATTTGTTGGATACATCCTATTGGCACCACTGGTGAAAGCCGATTCTGAAAGTCCCCGCTGTTTTCAGCTCATTAAAATGTAAAGGTTTCCCCTTCCCCCTCCAAGTCACCGGTCACCCTGTCCATTCCCCAGCCAGCGTCTTTGAAGTCTCTCCCTGTAGATTCAGCTTGCCTTGCATGGCTGGGGAACGCTGGGATTTGAAGTCTATGTTGGAGTCTTAAAAGTTTGGAGAGACCTCCCCTCTCCCTTCGCTTCCTCCTTTCCTCTCCTTCCCCTCTCCCCTCCCTTCCTCCTTCCCTTCCCTTTCCCTTCCTCTTCCCTCCCTTCCCTTCCTCCTTTCCTCTCCCTTCCTTCTTCCCTCTCCCATCTCCTTTGTCCTTTCCTCTCCCCTTCCCTCCTTTCCCTCCTTTCCTCTCCCCTCCCTTCCCTACCTCCTTCTGTTTATTCTCTCCCCTTCCCTTCCTATCTTCTTTCCTCCTTTCCCTTCCTCCTTTCCTCTCCCCTCCTTTCCATTCCACCTTTCCTCTCCCCTCCTTTCCCTTCCTCCTTTCCTTTACCCTCCTTCCCCTTCCTCCTTTCCTCTACCCTCCTTTCCCTTCCTCCTTTCCTCTACCCTCCTTTCCCTTCCTCCTTTCCTCTACCCTCCTTTCCCTTCCTCCTTCTGTTTATTCCCTCCCCTCCCCTTCCTCCCTTCCTATCTTCTCCCCTCCTTTCCCTCCCTCCTTTCTTTTCCTCTCCCCTCCTTTCCCTTCCTCCTTTCCTCTCCCCTCCTTTCCCTTCCTCCTTCTGTTTATTCCCTCCCCTCCCCTTCCTCCCTTCCT